CAATCTAGAGGACGCCTTATTGCCCGATAGACCCCTTGTATCAATTCCCAGTTGGTGGACAGCGCATTGGAATTCAATCCTCAGAGAGTAAAATTCTACCGTCTACCTTCAGCTGCGTTAGGGATGCTGCAAGGGCTGGTTTATATACCCAATATCGGCGGAGTTGGGAGTTGTAGAGTGTTGCTTTGGCTTTCGGAAAAAGTAAAATGAAAACTGGGATTTTWAAAATGTTTGCGCTATGTTCCACAAGCTCAACAAATTATCTAGAATATCTCAGAATTTAAAACTTGATCTCGGACAATTTATAACAATTTGTTTCTATTGTTTACTGTCCTTTAAAAATAAAGGAATAGTGTCTCATAATCCTTATAATAGTACTATAAATTTAAACCAGATACTGTTGTTTGTGGGACAGGGTTTGAATTCCATTGGGCATTGGTGATTGGCCTGTCAACGCGTGGAGAATTAATGTGTAAACCTGCTTATTTATATTTATACACATTTCAATAAAGTTAGTCACATGAAAGCTGAGACCGACAAGAATTATGGGTAGATACATTTTACATGTTTTAACCGCTTGATAACTGTTGATGGACTTGAGATCTTCTACCAGTTGCAAGTTAACCTCCTCTGAGCATCCTCAACTGCTGCAGTTTGTGTCAAAAGCTTTACTTGTTGAATATGAAATATTTCCCCATGATTCTCAGCGATCACAGCTTTCTAGGTTTTTGGTGACTAACTTTATTGAAATACGTATATTTTTTTATTATCTTTAAGGTGATTGATGAAAACGACAACAAGCCGGTAATCATCGCCCTTCCCGTACAGGCCGTCCTYGAGAGTGGACGAATCCCCGAGGATATTCCCGTAGGGCGTGCCGTAGCCTCGATCCAGGTCAACGACAAAGACAGCCCTAACAACAGCATGATAGATTTACGTTTAATCAACCACAAACATGACTTTCGGATCAAAACCATCTTTCCCAATAGTAACTACCTTCTTGTAGTACAACGTCCTCTTAATCTATCAAGAAAGGCGTGGTATGACATGAAACTGAYCGCCAGAGATAGTGGCGTACCTTCACTAAACAGTACTTCTCCYATCTTCTTCCGAATCGCAGACAAGAACAGACACGCGCCCAACTTTACTAAATCTGTCTACRAAGTGAAGGTGGTCGATGATGTTAARCCTGGCACRCACATCGCYAGTATTGCAGCTTACGACCCTGACACTGATCGAGAAGGGGACTTGGAGTACTCCATTAACACTCTTAGGATGGGAAATAAGAATGTCTCCAATCCAGAGAGGTTTTTTAAATACGATAAAAAAACTGGCAACCTGAAGGTGATTCCAAAACTATGGTGTTCCTTCACGCCATCTTTTGACTTAGTCGTCGAAGCCAGGGATAATGGACGGGTAAGGAGGCGCGGCAGTGCTGTTGTCAAGGTAACAGTGCTATGCGCAAAGTATCAGTATAATTTCACCATCAAGGAGAATCAGCCYAAGGGGAGTGTAGTGGGTCGTGTGGTGGTGGACCCCCCGTCTCCTGGCAAGAAACTGTCATTCAAAATCGTAAACGATGCCCGGAAGGATTTCATCATCAATAACGCAAGTGGTTTCATAACAACYGCTCGAATGCTGGATCGTGAATCCGTAGCAACACACTCCTTGGTTGTCTTGGTTACCGATGGTTTGATTGACATGCGTTTGACTGTTCTTGTTCACGTGGAGGATGTGAACGACAACGCGCCTATTTTCATTGGTCTAAACGACAATCATGAGGTGTCGCTACCCTCGACAGCAAAACGAGGCGATGAAGTCATTACAGTCAGGGCTACGGATCCCGATACGGGGTCTAACGGCCGAATTCAATATACCCTGGAGTCTGGTAACGATGATAAGACATTTATTCTAGACAAAGACCGTGGCGTGTTGGTTGTCTTTGATTATTTATTTGAACCCTCTTACGAGCTTAAGATCAAAGCTACTGATGCGGGAGAAGGGTCCAAGACCGCATACGTCACGCTAAGGGTTGTGGTCGCTCTTCCAAAGTATCTGCAATCGACCTCTCGTCCCTCTAAGGTACCTATATACGACACACAGGAAGGGAATGGGRGCCTCTTGGCGTCGAAAACCATATTGATCGTGGTGATCCTGTGCTCTATTGTAAGCTTGCTGGTGGTAGTAGTTATTGTGGTGGTTGTCATTCGGTGTTATCGAAGACAAGGCGAGACCAAGACCCACAAGTGCACGCCTCTCCAACGAGATTCCAACTTCAGAGAACCTGAAATCAGCCGCGAAGCCGCCATTAAAGCTTCGAAACAAATGTACAGCCAAGCGACGGTGAACATGTATGCGTCGAACGAGATGCTGGAAATTAAGAAACCCAAGAATCTAAAGATGGGTCAAGCGCAACCCTTACCGCTGAAGAGCTCCTTTGCCACCAGTCCAACAGGTGTCAATGCATCACCCAGCCATCGGGTGAACAACCCACCGCCCTATGCAGATATATACCCGCCAATATCTACGACTAGACCAGTATCTGAGTGCTTTAGCAGTGGCGATGAGCTGGATAGTGGTAGAGGAGACAGCTCTCTGCCGTCCAGCCCATATTCATGTCACACTTTGGGGAAAACGAACAATGACCACACGAATCATTACTCGACATATAAGCACCCCAAGAGAGACTCGACAAGTTATAATCATTACAACCACCCTGTGGTCACGCTGCCTAACCGCTCACAAAGCGGCAAAAAGAAAACTGTGACGATTGCTCCAGATGCTTTGCCGCATTCTTCTACTAACTTGTGAAAAGAGTTTTTACATGTTGTTGAATGCGTGACATTGCGCACATRTGTGCGCACCAACTAGGACATGTCACGCAAGTATAGAGACCCTGCTGGATTCAACGGTCGTTGCGGGATGCTTGCTTCAATTGCACTTTGCGTGACTGACAAATGTCACGCAACAGACTGTCGTGCTAAGGAATATGTTTATTTAAAGAAGAAGGAGTAGTCCCAATTTTGCATATCGCAATAGACCACTTGCATGTGACGTCAAAGGGGCTGAATTTGGAGGACAAAACAAAATAATTTCAATCTAGAAAGAATTGGAAACCCATTGTTATGTCCTCCAAATTGAGCTACATTCCGACGTGCTTCAAGGGGTCTATACGAGGATACAGGACTTGCACTGTGATAAGTAATAGGTTAGTAATCATTGGGTAGTACGTGAATGTATCGCAAGTAACTGGCTACGMATTCTACGTAAGATTTTCTCCCCGTCTCTTGAAGCATGTGGCGAATATTGAATATTATTATTTCTCAGTTTATCTTTCGTATTTAAAACTTTTATCTTCGTATTTTTCAACGTTTTTACTCAACATTGWTCAAGAGACTCATTTCCATTCTATATTTTAAATCCTTTCATCTTGTTCTTCGATCAAGCTATTTTCATGATCGTATTTTTTGTTAAATTCCGATCAAAGTGATCAAACTTTTGCACATTTTTTGGTACAATATCTTTTCCATTCAAGTTTTTCATTTGCATGACAGTGGCTTACGTCATGGGCTACGTAGACTTACGACACAGGCTACAGCTGACGTCATTTTAAACTAAATAAGACTTCGAGCCTTTTAATAGAAAAACTTAGTAGGATATCTTGTCAGTAAAATTAGTTTGGATTTTAGTGGGTTGAATAGGTGTTGGAGGTAGAAATAGTGGGGAATGGACTATGAAATGGTTTCCAATTTAAACCAATCAAAAATCAGGAAAATATAAACCAGCCAATCAAAGTGATAGAAGTCGAAAGCCACATAACTGCGTGTCTCCACATAACTGCGTGTTTTCGTGTTAGTCAGGGATTATATTCAGTATAGGTAAATATTGGACACTGCATAAGATTGAAAATTGAAAAAATGGAAAAAAGAATAAGATAAAGGGAATTGGAGATTCTCGTTAGTTTAAAGAAAACAGGAAAATATTTAACTGAACTTTAATGTACAGAACTTGGAAAAGGCCAATAGGACGTTTGCATGATGGCGTCATTTGACTCCCATTACCAAGATGCTTCCCCAATTTTTTTTCGTATTTAAAATTGTATTCCCCATGAGAATAGTATGACAATAGTCCCCTTCACGGTTCCCTGCGMCATCTTGAAAGGTAACCGAACCGACAAACGATGAGCTTGCAATGATAGAGACCTTTTTTAACACCTTGGACAATTATTCACAGGTCTCTATCATTGCAAGCTCATCGTTTGTCTCGCTTCGATGCAAGGGCATGACTACCTTTCAAGATGGCGCAGGGAACCGTGAAGGGGACTATTGGTGCTAATTAACTAAACGAAAGAAAGTGTACAAGGGAGTCTGGTAGTAGAGGTCAATGACGCCATCATGCAAACGTGTTATTCAAATGGCTTATTGATTTCTTATACATTTGGCATAAGGATTGATCATATTCATTTTGTATAATTTATCTTTCATATATAAGGTGATGACAAAGCTCATTTATTATGATAATTATTATATAGACAATCAARAAGGAATTAATCATTAAATCATTGGTATAAATTATTAGATAATGACTTGATTAAAATAAAAATGTTCGAGCTGTCGTAAAAAAACTTTGTTTCGGAATGCGCTTGTGTTGCTAAGAAGTGGCGCTCGCGCTGTCGGAAGCAATTCCTATCGCATTATTATGTGACGGARTCTTGTTCGTAACTTATTGCGCAATGGTTTTCAGTGTCATTAGCTACGTTCCTTAATGGCGAGGGCGCACGACGCAAATTTTCTTGCGTAGGAGATAATCCACGTTATGTCCACCCCTGCAACGCCGACGTCGTCTCTACCTTCTGCCATGTTTTAAGGGTTGGATACACGGTGCGTTCTTTTCTGCCATTGCATCGTGTGTCCGTGAAGCAAGTTAAGACAGCGACTGAGAGGCATGATTTGCTTTGGACTCAAGCGCACTGAGTCGTTTTATGGATCACCAACGAAAAGTTAAACGTTTTTGGATTGGATCCTCGCAATCTTTGTTCTTTCTTTTAGACCGAGTGAAGTCACTAAACCCGTGAAACAGATATTAAACAAATACACATTAATAGACCCTGATTACATTGTTTTCTTTTGTGTCTATTTGACTATTACACGTTGACTAGTATTTTTTATTTCGCGGGTTAAATACCTTCACTCAATTCGATCGATTCATTTAATATTTCAATKAAACGGATTAATAAACACGGTTTTTATTTACACATTATTCTCGGTAAAATACAATTACTAACAAACCCACTCTTTAGATTTACAAAATCCTCAAACTAGTTTGTAGGTTGTCGTCTAAACGATGTAATCCTCTCAACAACGAGAAAAATACAGCTTGCGCAACTACGAGAGGAATTCCATGTATCCGCACGAACAACTAAAAAACCCTGTACGTTCAATTCTGTGATGGCTGAGAAGTAATATCCCATAAATATTGGGAGATTGATAGAAAGAAGCCCACATACCCCCAAGAAAAGACATGGAATTTTCCTTATGGAATAACRAATACTACTAGTTGACTCAAATTTCTGCAAACACCTTCCACTTAATGAATGCGCTTTTCCTTGGAAAGCACTTCTAAGCAATTGTAACTCAATTGAACTGAACACAGAATCAGTATCCGAAGAGAACCTCGTCAAATATTGAATATAATTTCACTTTAAGACGACTCGAGAGGTGAAAGCTGTTGAGCAGGTGCCTGTGCGACAACTTGTACATCAGGAGAAGGTTGGTCTGCGACAGGAATTGAGTCTTGTGAGGCTTGGAAGCTAGCAATGTCAGGGCTGGGGATTGGTGCATAGTTGGCGTTATCCATAGGAGTCTGGGTGAAAYTATCAGTATCTGTTGGCACTGCTGGTGCACTCGTTTGTTCTAAAGGACTGGCATATGATTGTTGTTGATCTAGAAATAAGAAAGGGTTTCATCAGTATTACTAGAGGCAATGCGCCTGAATGTCTGTGTACATCCCGAGTATGGCGATCACAGGAAGCCTAATATAGATAAAAGGTTTAGTCGAAATTAAAATCTAGAAAAAATAACAGTGTTTTTTGTTACGTTTTTGTTGTTGAAAGTGTGTTAAATAATATGCAAGCGAATTGAAAATCAATCAATGTGGTCCTATGTAGAATTAGATTATCTAAATTTGGTTTCCTGGTGATAACGATTTATAACGTTTCTCATATCGTAAACAAAGGGGGGAAAACGTCGGTATTTCCCCCTGCTACGAGGCTGGTAATGCTCTTTATCATATGACCCGTATCTGCCCGGGCGCGCGCTCTTAGAAAGACCTTCGGGAAAATGGCGTGAGCAGGGCCGTATCAATCCGTACGGACTCGTACGGCCCTGCTCGTATCCGTGCGCTTTCTTTTTTTTAATTATTTTTCTTTTCGTGAGGGTCATGATAAAATGCTTATTGACTGAGTTAGGTCGGGTCGTACGGGAAAATATTTGGCTCTCGGTCATTTGCACGGACCTCAGCGCAGCTACTAAAAACTTGTCTATAGTGCTCTATAGTCGTGGATTTCCTTCATCTATGCCTTTTTAGATTTTTTTTTGATATGATACTAAAATATGTTTCCCTTGTAATCCACACGATTTCTGTCTACCCAAACGTCTTGCCCACCAGCCACAAATATTTCAGTCACAATAAAACCTCTGCAAAATATTTATAAACGTCTGCGCAGCATTCTGATATAGCTATTATAGTTCTACCCACGTAATCATTGTACGCATATTCTAAATCTGCCGTGAACAGCCGCAAGCCTTTTGCACAAAATTTGTAAAATCTGGTATGGTACAATTATAGTTCTACCAACGTAACTGAATTGTGCGCATATTCTGCATCTGCCTTGAACAGCTTCGCAGATTAATATATTTCTCTCGATTAAGYTTTAAATCTTGTTGCGCGTCTTCAAAACAGCTGGTCAACGTTTCTCGAGCGCAAATTAATGGTGAAATTTCAGCACGCACTTATCTGTTTTCACTTAAAGATATAGAAATATAGATAAGTTATAGTGCTTGCTTTTTCACTTAACATATATTCGTTTAACACTTGGAATACTATTAGAGTGTCGTATCAATAATAGCCTATCATGCGTAATATCATAATCTACTTCAGTTTGTGGTTTTTACCTGTGAAAGAAAGAGCGTCATTRCTCTGTGCTCCAGCGGCAGTCTCTATCATCGGTGCCTGCATTAGATTACTGTCAGGTGTCTGTACATCCGCAGTACCATCGACATTTGGTGCTGTGTCCGATGTCGCATCACTCTGATCAGAAGYAGCAKCTTCGTAYGAATTGTCGCTTTTGGTAGCGTCGTTCTGCATCTGCATGGCGTTGTACTGTTGTAGAACTTCAGACGTGTCCGGCTGGAAATCTCCGAGCGTTGCAGTGTTTGTTTCYTGAAGTGTTTCTATTTATCAGAATAAAGAAGGTCAAAACGTGAGAGGACGAGTTTAAAGAAGCCTTAGATATATTTAAAAAATCGTTTCTATGCATRAGAGACATTGTTCAACGTATCTAACGACCATAACAATAACAACTGGCATTATATTTTAATAATATTACAAGCTTTATCATYCTTCGGCTTTACCTTTAGGTATACAAGTTGGTCTGTTGATAGCAGTAGCGACAGGACACTCGGGCATCACACATTTGACTTTCTGAACCTTGCACGCCTGTCCAGTTGGGCAGTTGAAGCCCTGAAATATCGAAACAATGAAGAAACAATGTTAATCTTAATTGTCATTAAACTTTGCAGCATCTAGCCCCCCTCCCTCCCCTCCCCTCCCCTCCATCTTTTCAGGCCCTTTCTCACACAGAGGAGAGAGCCCTGGGGTCAAGGTTTTGATTTGGTAGGGAAAAATCGTGAAATATCAAAGAAAGAAAATAGAATYGTGTTGGTGTTGGTACTTACAGCACATGGATTCGGATCTCTCACTGAAAAGAGAATAAAAAAGTTAATATAAGAGAATCTTTTTACTGTAAAAGATTGGAGTTTGGGCTTCAAAGTCCATCTTGTTCTGGTGCTTCTCGACCACAATGCTCCCTTGCGCCGGTGACGATTCTGGGGTACTGGGACGAGAGGACCTCTGACGCCTTACCCTTAGGAAACAAAAACTAAATGACRCGAATACACTAACTAAACATTTTACTTACTTGAAACGGTGCAGACAGCTGCCCCGCAGTAGTTTTTGCAGCATTTACGATTGCCATCACAGTGGCTGTCTTCGTTACACTCGCTTTCAGTACAAGGAGGATCCACTGAATCTCCCTCGCGAATCACTGCCATTCCCATATAATTCAACCTGACATCCTTCTTCTGAAAATTACTCGCGGGATCGGGACATAGGCCCGTTCTTGATAAGTAGCCTGCGGGACAAGGACATCACGATGATTAGGTTACAATAAGATCGTTAATGTTTGATACATAGAATATGTCAAATTAAATGTTTAGAAATTAGTCATTGAAGTAAACTATTTCTTACCTCTTTTTTGTCTAGATATTGAACCTTAAATAAAACAAAATATCTATTAGTTTGGGTTGCCTGTGTTAAAAAGATACGCGCATGCGTCATGCGTCCGATAAGACACGACGGAAAAATGAACGAGCACCAATAGTGATCAAATTTAAAGCATAATTTTTAAAAAGAAAGTAAAGTATTATTCAGCATATTACCTGCATGAATGGACAGTAATACGCTGCAGACGGCGAGGGGGAAAACCCAAGATTTCATTTTTAAGTTTTCGTCCTGCCTGTAAAAGAAAAACAAACATAATGTCTCAGTTTGGGAAATATACTTTTTTTGAGAACTGACGACCGATTTCCTGACGACCTCGATACACAAGAAAACTTATGGAATGAAAAAATGGGACGACGTTACAGAGGTAGTTATTCTACGGGCGTAGATTTCACTCAAACTAGCACCGGCTTAGTTGAGCTTCTTTTGGACAAACCGAAAGAATGCAACCTTATCATTAGTTCGTGATGCATGGAATGAACTGAAAATGAGAACTCCGCGTAATCTCTGATAAATCATGTGAATATCAGAATTATTTTGCAGTTTCGGAGAAGCTATGGTCATGCATATAGCTAAACTGGTACTCTAAAATCACTAGCCAATGGCGCGTTGGAAACCTMAACTCAGTAGGCTCGTGGCTATGTTTTAAAATTAAATACAAAAAGCTGAAAAATAAGATATTATAACTTCAATGTCACTGCAGACGTCACAGAAAGGTTATTACAGTTCTTGATGTTTTTGAAAAAAACTAAAAACTAAAATTTGTAACAATTTTTCGTGTCTGTACGTCAGGTGACATCAACCATCCTCCCGAACTTTTCCTACTAAGAATGTCTTTAAGTGATAAGAATAATTTTATTTGTACAACTAGAAACGTTGAATGTAGAATAAAAGGCTAGAAAGTAATATTTGGACTGGAAAATCTTCGATCACATTTTTGGTTTGTTCGTGAATCGCAAGAAATTCCAGTGGTGAAGAACAGATGAGTTTTCTTGTAGAAAATCTTCACAGATATCGAAGAAACAAGATCGACATCATTCTCTTCCTATTTTAATGCGAAGAAATGTAATATTTTATACCTTTACATACCTTTTTGGACGAAATTATTTCTAGTTRAAGTCTTGATCGTAGGATTGGAGGGTCCCTTGCATACTAAATCAGATTTTTTYGCATTACATCATCGCGAGTTTAGGGTCCAAGCTATGAACCATCCCGCCAATAGCAACACATCTCTTATTGCATGGTCAAGTTTGGTTGCAATACATGAGCTAAAAAACGCCCACATTTTTTTATAGAAATTATAACACGATACATATTTGAAGTGGTTTTGAAAAAACAAAGCGGCTAAAGCAAAAAGGTCGTTTTCTGGCTTTCTTTTGTGAAGAACTGTGCCGGGATTTATAAATAGTTAGTACTCAATACCCGCAGGTGTTTCATTGTGGGAGTGACAAAATGACAGGTTGTTTTGAAATAACTTTTTACTTCCTTATATCCTGATATTATTTTCTTTTTCTCGCTGGGAAATTAATTTGCAAATTCCACAAGGACTGAACTAAATCAATATTGAGGGAATAGATAAATAAGAATTCAAATGAGTTTATTTTTAGTTTCAAAACAACGGTCAGCTCGTGTTGGAATCGAAGTAAAGAAACACTCAAATGGCTTTATCGTTTCAACCAATCACAAAGGACCAAATCTCAGGTCGTCCAATCATATTTCTTTAATAGTACCAATAAAATGTTTTTTGTGTGTGTGTGTGTATTTTTCTTATTACCAAAACTACTACTAAACAAAACTACTGAAGGTGTAATCAGCTAAAAACTTCCAAATTAATTCACACAGAATAAAGACTTATYTACACCAAAATTTCGATCAATTTAAAAAAAATACTCAATCGGTTAGCTAGAAATTTTTCTTCTAAAAACTTTACAACTTAAAAGTGTGAGAAAATGTTCTAAATATTCTAATAAAACAATAATAATTAATTTAATCTGTAGCCGGCGGCCATATTTGATTTATAATCGATTTTCTTAAAGTGGTACTGAAAGCCATGACTAAGTATTAGCTCCTCACAAGAGTATGTATACATACGCATTTTCTTCTCTATTTCTCTTCGTCTTTTTAAAACAAAACTATCAAACTGAGRAACAAAGTTGATAACCAAACGGAAATATCTACTGGAAACCCTGAAGATGTTCAAAGTCGTGCATAAACATTAATTTATGCAGCCGCTACCGCTGCTAGAGGATCATGAGGAGTTACCATAGCAACGAAAAATTCAATTAGATTAATGAAATTGTCGTAAGGGAGGGAAGCGTTTACCGGACCGACATTGAGAAATGCTGCTGAGGAGACTAGAGCGACATTAGTCACAAGATGTTTCTAATATGCAAATAAATAAGATTTGTTCTTCGAATGATAACATTTTTCTTATCCTATTGCAATTATTTATAAAAGGAATATGAACCTTTTTGATAAAATCAATGTCTAGCTTAGTACAAAACTTCTTTAGACGCTTCATTAGAGTTTACTAGTGTCAAAAGAAGTTTATTTGCGTTCACGATAAGACATTTTCGAGAACAAAAGATTGTTCATGACAAATTATCATGCAGCTTTTTAGAGTTTTTTCGGCGCTTGAACTCCTAATTCTACGAATACCATCTGCTCGTAGTAGACCTTTATATGAAAGCTTCCGAAAAATAAGRTAGAATAACTGGATCCATCCCGAGGAAGTACGATTATATCTTTTCCAAACTGTACTAATGTTTAATGATATTTACACTTCTTGATATGTTTGCAGTTTTTTTTATTAATCTACAAAGATCTTTTGGGAGTGAAAATTAAAAAACATCGAACACAGTTTTGAAACGCGAAAAACGGTTGCTACAAATCTTTTTAACTATTAAATAAATCTTTTTAATTGTTCATTCATTTCCCCTTGAGATATAATCCATTTGATTTTATTTTTGTTTTTGTCATTGACTAAGATCCTCTATCTCATCTTTTTTTCTCGTTAGTAAAATCCAATGTGCAAAATTAGTGGACAACGCGACCTTTTAATTAATCAGTTATAAAATACATTTCGCGGATCATTTGTACAAATCTTCGCATCGTGTATTTAAAGATCTTTTTATAGTTTCTTCGTAGTTACAGTACATATTTAAAATCCTATCTTTATTACTTTTATTTAAAATTATTAGAAGAAGTTAGAAAATGAAAAACAAATTTGGTGGGGGGAGGGTCTTTTTGTGAATATTATCATATACTTAGAARTTTTATACTAACTCCGTCTTGCAGGTCTCATTAATCGTTTCTCTTTCGATATTTTAAGGTTTTTAAAGAAGAGTTTTTAGAAGTTTTTGGGGGTAATTTTCTGGGGTATTTTTGTTTATTTTTGTGAATATTAATTTGTTTCGGCCGTGAGGTACTGGTACTTCTATCAGTGGTCGCGAAGGAACACAACTCAAGTATGGATGGTAAAGGAGGCTTGTGACAACCTGAAAAGTCTCTCAAAAACTCCTGATTTTCACCCCCAAAACTCATCCAAACTCAACCACCATGAGCCTCATGAGGCAGGTAGGACTWCTGGCAGCTGGCTGTCAGCCATGGAACTTGGATGTGTGTTCTGCAAGCAGCACAGGAGAAAGATTTGCCTACTGCGCTACTTTGGCGGTCTACATTTACGAGGTGAAAACACTTCTCACTCAACTCTATCTAATAGACTATTCAATTCAGAAACTATAGTAAACAACCGCATAGGTAGTATATCTAGTATCTGCTTTCGTGGTAATTCGATATTTTGTTTGCTATGGATTTGTTTTCACAAGAAATTCAATTTGTTTTTATGTCGTTTGAGTTGTGTCCATCCTTTGCTTGAAACCTTTACTTCCAGCAGCTCTTCTTCTTTTTCAAATTATACACTTCATTGCCTAGCTGCTGAAGTGCTAATCTTTTTTTATACCGTAAAGATTACTGCTTAGGTTACTGAACAATTTATGAAGTGAAGTCCGGGTTTTTATTTATTTTTCCTTATCCGCTGAATTTTTAATTCCGACTCCAGCTAAAATAACCGCTTGCGCTATTAACATTTTTACATTATTTTCGCGCAAGACTCTAAATCCCTAAAAGACAAACGGATTTTTAACGGAGTTTTAAACCACAATTCCACTCKATTCCTTTTTTCACATAAGATTATTGCAGCTGTTTAAGTAAGTTTATAGTGTTTTTTGTGTGTCAAAAACACATTGAAATAATGCGAGCAATAATTTCCTTTTACCAGGATTGTAAGGTTTAATTTTTTTCCTGTCATTTCTCACTAATGATAAAATGTAGCTGCTATAGTTAAGCTCATAGTCGTGAGAAAAATTCATTTTGATTGCTCATTTTAAGGCAGATGGGTTCTTGTCATAAAAGGTTTTTAAAGTTGTAATTCCCTGAAGATTTGAGTATTTTGAAATGGATTAATGAATATAAGGATTAATCAAAAATATTTTAAAAATATTTTAAATATATTCTTTCTTACGAATATGAAAAACTTTTTATTTCAAAAAAAAACTGTTTAAAATCATTAGGTGTATATGATAATACAATTTTTAGCTAAAACATATTTTCATTTTATGACAATTTAGCTTGTCAGACTTTGCTGAAGAGCACTTTAAATATAGATACTTGACTTCGAAGGCTTTTTGATCAGTGCAGTCCAAATAGTGCTAATTCTTTATTGGTCAAGGGTCTTATTGCTGGAAATGTGTTATGCTCTTATGCATACATTTACAACTGCTCATTTTTATACATAAAAATATAAATCCATATTTATTGCCATAAAAAATATCTCCTAAAACTCAGACTTAGAAAACAACATTAGTCTGTTTCGATGGGTGCAAAATCTCAGGCAAAATATAAAAATATAAAGAAAGTAATACAAGTATTATTAAGAAACTTCTCTTAAAATGTTCGGTTCTACACTAATAAAAAAAGTCCAGTTTTTGAAATTTCTAATTTCGTCACCAAAAATCTAAGTACCTGAATAAATGAACAAATGAATACACACATCACACCTAATAAAAATTACAACAATAACAACACTAGAACGAAAGRAAAAAAAATCTACCAGGTGTTGAAAAACCAAATTCCAACCAGGCAACGCTCAACTACAGAGTTAGCATTTTTATTTTAATTGCARTAAATCAAAATAGACCATGAATAGTCACATTTTGTTGGGTTACTTGGTGATATCACAGTTTCATAAATAAATATTTATCTAGATTCTAGCTGTCTTATGCTAATCTAATGGTGATTTTTTTTAACATTTGAGATTGTAATCAAAGAGCAAGCTTAATACATTCACAAGAAATGAATATTGCATAGTTTACCGGTGGTTTTGGCAAAGAGGGAATTTACGAAGTGATGCAAAATATTGATAAAATATGATCAACTGGTGTTTACCTCCTGCTATAAGAATCTTACTAGATGCATAGCTTCAGATATTTCTTTTGTTTTGGAATTTGTTATCATTTTCATATACAAAACRCCCAGCTAGCTAGTAAACAGTATGGCAGGAAATTAATGATTTCAAAGTTATCATGCAATCTTACTGCATATTAATGCAAATTGATAATTGACCAAGCAAAAAATTCATACTCTTCAAGCAGAAAAGGACTGCTTTTAAACTCCTTAAATTCCTTGGGAATTCCAATCCTGCTCCATGGGAGAGGTATGGATATTTTCTTGAACTACACGATATATACTCCTCAGACCTTCCCCACCCATCAGAAATTATAACTCCACTCTATTTGGGAGGTAGGGAGATTTTCTGGAACTACATTATTAATATACCCTCCTTAGTCCAGAGGCTCCCACCCTTGGAAATTTAAATCCATGGGGAGGTATGGATATTGTCTAACTATTCAATATACCTCCTCAGAYCCTCCCCACCCTTTGCAATTCTAACCCCGCTCCATTGAGGAAGATATGAATTTTTTTTTGGAGAAATATACGCTACCCTGCTCACTGCCTACCCCCTTTGAAATTGCAATACTCTTTTGAAAATATATGGCATGTATTTTCAACTGAATCCAACCAAATAGATATCCTAGGTTGGGGTGTAATGTTTTCCTATTTCAGACCATGTATCATTCCCTAGAGTATAATTTCTTTGTTTAATGTTACGCTTGGTTGCACATGAGAAGAAATGAATATGGATACAACTCAAACAAAATCCTATTGACTAGTGGTCTGAAATGGGAAAACGTTAGTCCCAAGCCCAGGAGATCATTATCTGAAGGATACAAAGCTTTAAAATGCCTTCTAAGATGAACTGTAACTATTTTTTGTAGATTTCTGTATTACTAAATATTTTCTATTTTCCTTACAGCTTGACCAGCAGTTCAACGAGTACAAGCTGATAAGTATCATGTCCGAACACAAGAAAACCATCACCTCTCTCTGCTGGCACCATTCTAATAATGACATATTTGCAACAGCTGGTGCAGATTGCCGCATCTGTATATGGAATGTTGCAGAGCAAAAAACAATAGCCATTCTCAACAGCGTCAAGGTTATTCCCACTTGTATTGGCTGGTGTCCTCATGAGGATGAAGTCATTGCATAYATCTACGGACGTGGGCCGTTATACACTTGGAACCAGTTCTCAGCTGGAGGAGGAACAGTCTCCAAGCTTCTTGACTCCATTTCCTTTTTCTCTGACATATGTCAATTTCGTTGGAATATGAAAAAGTTTGGCAAGATTGCACTTGGTCATGCCGATGGTAGTATATCTGTGATATCGCCTGGCAACAGGCCATATAAACATTATTTAAGGCCTGACACTGTAGATGATCCTGATGATGAGGATCCAGTTACAGCAATAGAATGGGACCCTTTGTCAGTAGATTATTTGTTAGTTTCTAATGCRCGGCAGGGAGTTAGAATGATTGACAGTAATTCTATGAGTGTTATTATGAACTTTAAGCTGTCAAGTCTTGCAGCTAGAATACATACTTTAGCGTGGATTCCATCAGCTCCAGGCATGTTCGTTACTGGAGGTAAGTAGGGGTTACTGTAACAGCTACATGTTACTCAAAGCCATGGGTGATAGGGTAGTAGTTGTAAGAAAAAACTGGACTATATCATTTAAGAATGTGTCGACAAAATGATATGGCGTCATCATCATCATCATTTACTAGATTTAATACCACTAACTAAATACTTGTCAGTAGCTGTTTGCAGTAGTAACCTCCTGTATGAACTTAATACTAAAATGAATAATGGTGTACATGTAATCTTTGTATCTTTAGATACCCAAACAGGTGCACTTCGAGTATGGAATGTATCAAAATCTTCTCCTATAGCTAACATAAAACTTAAAAAGACTGGTTTCCATGCGCTGACAGTTATCTCATCCATTGGTGATCACAGCACTTCTAATGGTCATGTACAGACATCTGTGTCGTCAACGTCAGCTGCTTTTACCCCACCATCAGTACCAACGATGAACGACTTTGCCCTCCCACCTGCACAGATATTATGTACATTTCTTGATGGTGGTGTAGGATTATATGATCTTGGTAAACGGAAATGGAATTTTCTCCGAGAAATGGTTTGTCATTTATCATTTATTGATAACCTTATTAGAGACATTTCTATTCCTACAGTAGCATGTATTCTTACCCCTCCCCCCCCCCTCCCCACAGTCAAAGGTTGATGCCAAATCACACCACCCTTCAAAAGTTTCTTTGAATATACCTTCCTCAAACCTTCCAAATAGCTTAGAAATTCTACACCTCCTTCATGAGGGAGGTTTAGACATTTTCAGGAGCTAAAATCATAAACCAACCTGGGTCAACTTTAGGSCATCTTGATCTTATTGAAACCCCTAAAAGATAATAATGAACCCCTGGCAGATTATGTAGTATGTGTCCGACAAGAAAGGTAGGCAAACCAATCTGGGTTTTTTTTGGTTGGCCAAATTTGTTTTCCGAACGACCTTCCCTGCATTGTTAGTATTCAGTATAACAGAGCTTTAAGATTGTTATTCCTGTACTCATATGATTATTTTAAGTGTTGAATATCTCTTTTATCTCGATGTGAAGGGTCATGTAGAGACAATATTTGATTGTAAATTTAAACCAGAAGATCCTGATCTCCTTGCTACAGCATCATTTGATGGGACCATTAAAATATGGAATGTCAATACTATGGCTGCTGTAAGTATTCCAGCCACACCTCTTTACCTCTTCCTTGGAGTGGGAGGGAGAGGTTTCTAGTATAGTTTTAAATTGTGTAGTTCCAAAAATTATCCATACCCCCTCCCCC